CCTTTTCCTTTTCCCTTTCCTTTTCCTTTTCCCTTTCCTTTCCTTTCCTTTCTTTCAATTCCTTAAGTTAGCATACAAAGTAATGGGTTTCATTATGGCATTTTGTAATATATGTCATTATACCTTGTTTTTATTCAATCTCTTTTTTTTTTGTTTTTTTGTTTTTCGAGACAGGGTTTCTCTGTGTAGCTTTGCGCCTTTCCTGGAACTCACTTGATAGCCCAGGCTGGCCTCGAACTCACAGAGATCCGCCTGGCTCTGCCTCCCAAGTGCTGGGATTAAAGGCATGCGCCACCACCGCCCGGCTTTTTTTTTTTTTTTTTTTTTTTTGAGACAAGGTTTTTCTGTATAGTCCTGGCTGTTCTGGAACTTGCTTGGTGTAGACCAGGCTGGCCCCAAACTCAGAGATCCATCTGCCTCTGCCTCCCAAGTGCTAGGATTAAAGGCATGAGTCACCACATCTTTCTTCCATTTTAGTCTTTTGTAAAAGACAACTTTTGATAAGTTTTCTAGATATTTTTTTAATATGTATGTGTGAGTGCCTGTGTGTATGTATGTGTATCACATTTGTGCCTTGTACCCATGGAGACCAGAAGAGGGTTACAAGCCTGTTGTAAGCCTCCATGTCATCTGCAAGAGCAGCAAATTTTCTTACCAGCTCAGCCATTTCTCCAGCCCCTCCCTCCAGAAGTTTTCTTAAAGGCAAACTTGTTACGGTACAGTAAGGAATTGGATGTAAATATGAGATAGTTCTTGATGATTCCCACTGGCTCTCTCTTTGAATAGTGTACTAGTGTCCCTATGTGTCCTTGGAGTGAAGGGACAAACAGTGATTCCCTAGACATACAGTCAGTTTAACCTTAGGAAAGGACAAAAAGACCTCCAGGAGCCTGTAATCCCAGTACTTGGGAGATAGAAGCCAGAGGAGCAAGAGTTCCAGGTTATTCTCAGATGCATATCAGGTTCAAGACCAGCCTGGGCTACAGGAGGCCTTGTCTCATTGCTCCTGCTCCCTCCCCAAAAAAGGTTCTGCTTCATGGAAATGGTGGTGCTGTGGACCCACTTAATGTGTTAAACTGGGGGAAGGAAGGAAAGGCTTCTTTCTCGTGTGTGTGTGTGTGTGTGTACACACAACAGTTTCGGATGTCATTCCTTGGGTGCCAGCTACCAGGCCTGGAACTTGCCAAGTAGGCTAGGCTGGCGAGTGAGCTCCAGTTATGTACCTATCTCGGTCTCCTCGGTACTGGGATTCCAGACAGAGGCTCCTAGGCCAGGCATTGTGGTGCATGCCTGTCTCAAAAAACAAAATAAACAAACCAAAAAAAAAAAAAATCAAATGCTTGCTACCTCACTTTTTCTTTTACATGGGTTCTGGGATTGAATTCGGGCCCTCATGCTAACTGAGCCATCTCCCCGGCCCAGGAAAGGTTTGTCACACCAGTTTACTCCCCACAGCTCACCACCCTCTCTTCATCCAGTGCCATAATTATAGACAGAAATGGTCATTTGGCTCAGGAGGCTGAATCAGGAATATTCCTGAGCCATATTTGGGATACACACTGAGTTCTGTCTCAAGGAGGAAAAAAAGAAAAACAGCTTTCTTGGAAAAGAATGCTGAACTGCTGTGAATTGAGTGAATGTAGCCTATGCTAGTGGTGAAGTAGAGGTGTATGCCTTCAGCATTTGTCAGGGACCGCTGTCCCCTGACTGCTTCAGATATGCGGCCTTTCCTCGTGAAGCCCCTTTACTTTTTATTGTTAGGTTTTGTGTTTGGCTTTTTGAGACAGGGTCTTTCTTGGGTTACTCAGGCTAGCCACTAACTGTGTAGCTAAGGGAGACCTTGAACTCTGTCTCCACTTCCTGCGTCCTGGGATTTACAGGCATGTGTCATGCATACATCCAGCTGAAAACTTCTATGTGACTCTCTAATGAAATACCTGTTTTACTGTAGAGCACTTTACCTCCCATTGATTTTTGTCTTTCTGAAAAATAACATCCTTTAGTAAGCAGATTAAGCCCTTTGCAAATGAAATCTGTATAACATATTTCTCTTCAACATATTCCACTTTCTGGGATTTCTTCTCTGAGATGCAGTTGCATGAGTAGTTTTCCTAGGAGAAAAGTTTGTCTCTAGTCAGGACACAAACTAAAAACCGTATCACAGTTAAGAAAGTCTGGGACTAAGGAATGTGTAGAGCAGTTGCTCAGTGGGCTGGCTTTTCTGCTGTGGAAGCCAAACCCAGTTGGCTTAGATGCCCTGAAGCCCTCACAGACACATTTTAGGACAAATTCCTAGACTGTAAGTGCAGTTCAGTTGGCAGAGGGCTTACTCAGCATGCGGAAGCCCTGGGTTTGCTTGTGACAGGTGGCTGTGCGTGCTTGTAATCCCAGCTCTCAGGAGCTGGAGGTATGAAGATCAGAAGTCCAAGGTCATCCTTGGCTACATGAGACCTGGTCTTGAAAAGAAATAAACAGCACAATTGGCCTTTTGAAAAATTCTTCAGTGACTTCTGGCATTGTAAATTTATGAAAAAAAAAAAGCGTTCCTATGACCCATATCCAGCTGTAATTTACCAGACATTAAAAGGTGCTTATTTTGTATTTGAACATACTTGTGCAGTCTCTTTTTTGAGGTATCTGTTTTGCCAGAGGTGATATCTCACACCTTTGCTGCCTGTTCAGTATCCTGGGCTGTAGTGTTGATACCCTATCTAGAGAGTAGTCAAGGGAGAGAACCTTGTATACACACATACAGGCTTATATGTATATGATATATACACATACATGCATATATGTTTATTGTATCTGTTTTGACTTTTCAAAGAGCTGGAGTTAACTTTTGTCAGCATAATTCTACATAGCCTCTGTCACAGTGACATGGAAAGTATAAAAATGTCTTGCTAAATATATCTTAATTAAACCTGCCTTGTCACATCTTCTAAACCAAGAACTTTAAACCTTGAGCTTTTAACGGTAGGAGATTTAAGTACAAAAATATGGGAACAAAACTTGGCTCTGGATTGGTGAGATATACACAGTGGCAGAGTGGTTGATTAGCAAGTGTGAGGTTCAGTTCCTGGTGCAGAACATGTCTAGGGCCATCCAGATGCCACTGAACCTGATGGCTTGAGTTTGATTCCCCAGAACCCACAGGTAGAAGGACAGAACCAGGTCTCACAAGTTGTCCTCAGACCTCCGTACCTGTACACACACCTAAAAATAATGTATGAGATTCTTTAAAGAGCACTTTTTATAATTTATAAAATATCGTAAAAGAGTCATGAAAGTTGCCTGGATGCTATTGATAATAAGGACTTTGTCAGGCATGCCACTGAACACTGTGGAAGCTCGTGCTAAAACAGTAATGTTTGTTTCATAGTCTTAGTATCTGCCACACAGGAAAGATGATTTTCAAATAGTTGGATAAAGATAATGTGATAAAGATAATGAAATTAAAAGTATCCTCTCACCCTAAGAGCCAGGCTTCTAATTCTATCATATTTGGCTTGGGGAGTATGTTTCTGGGCACCCAACACGGAATCCTGTTCAGGCTAGTCAGGTGCTCTAGCCCTGAGCTCCAGTCCAGCCACAGCATGTGTGCTTTCTGAGTTTGTCTGCTATCATTTGAAGTTGTTAATAGTAAGACCCATTTTATACTTCATAAAATTGTGTTCCTACATAGGAAATTTGAAAAACCACCGAAGTGGCTGTTGTTACTTATTTAAAATATTAGTTGTCTGAGTACTTTTATGCCAGTCAGAGGCAACTAATACCTAAAATTCAAATTTTATTTAAGGTTTTATTAATGCTAGTAAGCAAATTATATAAAATAATCCATAGAAATTAGTTTTAATCCCCATGTTCCAGTCATGGGCAGTTCCCCCCACCATTGTGTGTCTCATAACTAGAACATAGAACAGGTTTACAGTTGTTGATAATTTTAATAGAATAGGAAGCCCTGGAAAACTCAGTAAGGTATTAGTTTATGCCTAAACTTTTTTCACCAAAATTGCTATTGACAAGTGAGAGACTTAAACTGTATAACTTCTGCTTTTCAGAGTATTATGTAGCTGAACATTCAAATAAGGAGCAATGGACCAAAAAGCAGAAGGAGAGAACTAAACTGTTTGATCAGCAAACTAGAAATCTCTTCTGAATGTTTTTCTGTCCCCTTCTCCTCATAGGAAATCTTTGCTGGCAGCAGCCTCTCCTACCACATTGTGTTGTAGCTGTGTCACCTGGGGCCGTGGGGTTCTGCCTAGTTTGTAACTACAGGAAAAGCAAAGTGAGATGAGAAATTATAGCTGGGGAGGAAAGAGTTTTCTGCCCTGACTAGGTCCTGTGGTGAGGAAAGGAAGCAGGCCTTTAAATATTTTTTTTAGTACATATTACGAGACCAAAAAGCAGCTCGATTTCCAGCTTAGGATATTGTTGCAAAAGTAAAAACATCAGTTTGTGGAAAATAGAAAATATGCATACCTACAGCTAGCCTAAACTGCTTGTCCCCAACCCCAGTAACTAGAAGTTTCAGATTCCAGGTACACATATAAATGCAATAATAACTGAAGTGCCTGAGTATGGATGTATGGTATTGGTAATATCAAGCACATGGTAGTATATTCAGTATTGGTATTTGATTTTTTAAAAAACATACTCTAAAGTGAATTCTTACTGAGAGTACCCATTAAAAATTTAATTGTAGTTTTTCATTATTTTGTTTTTATTTTATACTAAAAACTTTCAAGTAGATATTTCAATATGACAAAGTTACATAAGCCGAGCATCCCCTTGCACGTAAGGAAAAATGCAATTATTTTCTATTCTGAATCTCCAGACTGCTGTTTTAGAAAATCATATCTGATTATTTGCTCAGCAGAAGATTATTGAGTTGATTTAGCTGTGATTTTACTTAACAAAGCTTCAACTGTATTCCTACTGTGGAGTCCAAAAAAGGTAGAGAGATATAAATGATACATTCAAACTGTGATTTTTGTGAACAGGGCCGTCGATGCACCCCTCGGAGCTAATAGCGGAGATGAGAAACAGTGGGTTTGCACTGAAACGAAATGTACTGGGGAGAAACTTGACCGCAAATGATCCATCACAGGTAATGATCTTTTTATCAGTAAGCTGAAAATGTCTGGAAATCTAAACGTGATTGCTTGTGAATTGCTACTTAATGTTTTCCAATATGCATATATCCATAGGAAAGTAAGATAGAGCAAAGGAAATGCTTTAAATGTATTTTGATTTTGCTACTTTATTACTTTAACCTAAATGAGAAATTGTTTATAAACCTATATTTTAATAAATGAAATGGCTCCTTTGGGTTTATGTGGATAAAATGAACTGGTGATAGGATTGTTTGCTCCTTCCTGCTAACACACCCTTGAAATGACATTAAATTGAGCCAACAGAAGTCTATAAACAGCTCCCTAAACACTATAGAAAATGCTTTAAACTTATTTATTAAACTGTTCATAAATTCAGAAAGTTAAAAGTTTTCAAACTTACTGCATTTTGTGTGTGTAAGAGCCTGTGCATGTGTGTGCGTGCAGGCATGCATATGAATGCATGTGCCAGTGCGAATCAAGAGGAAAATGTGGAGGAGTCAATTCTCTCCACCATGGAGATTCCAGGGATTAAAACTCAGGTCATCAGACTTGGTGGCAAGTGCCTTTATACACTCAGCCATTAGCCCTGGCTTGAGTTTTAAAGGATGTATAATTGCATATTTTATAATAAAGTTTAAAGTTACTGATATTTTGATCTAAGTTTCATGGTCTTCAGATTTTTCGATGTTTGTGCAGCTGGGGCTTGCAACCAGGGCCATGTGCATGTTAGACATGTGTTCTGTTATGGAGCTGTGGTCCCAGCCCTTCAAGATGCTCCTGGTTTTTATATTTCATTAAACTAAAAGTGCTGTATTTAGATAGTAAGTCTTTCAAGTGTTGAAGAGAACAGCAGCCTACTGTACTTCTATCTGTACTTATCTTCCCCGTCCTGATAGTCTCCAAGAGTTACAGAGCAGTTATATTAACCTTTGATCTAGCTTAGCAGGTGGATATAACTGTTTAAATACTCTAATCCCCACACACTTCAGTCCGGAGTACCACACCGGCAATGGTATGTCCGTGACACAAACTCAGTTCAAACTCAGTTCCAAGTGTTCTTTCCTGTCTAATAACTAGTCTAAATCTAGCAATTGGACTCTTTGTTGACTCAGGACTATGTTGCGAGTGACGGTGAAGAAGACCCTGAAGTTGAGTTCTTAAAGTCTCTGACAACCAAACAGAAGCAGAAGCTACTCAGGTAAGTAAGGAGTCCATGTGGGACAGCCTTCTCTCCTGCAGTGACCCACCTGGGCTCTGCACTCAGCTCAGGCAGAGAGCTCATGGTGGTGCTTAGACTGTGGGTCCCTCATTTTGATTTAGTCTTCAGCTAGAGTAAAGCAGTTTTATCTTTTCAATAATAAGAAAATTAGTGTTTGTGTCCTCAGACTGTACTACCAAGCTATTGTACTTTTCAGAACATTTAATTTGGAAGTAGACTTTTTTGTAGCTTGTATTTTTCTTAATAAAACTGTATATATCTTTGCACACCACTTGCTCTTGGAAAATATTTTTATTTTTTTTTTTTTACATTTTGTGAAATTTTATGAGGAATATTGAAAGAATGTTTAAAATTATAGTAATGCTTAAATTTTTTAAACACACTCCCTGTGGGCTAAAGAATTAAGATCTACCAAGTCCAATAGAGGGCGCTCACCATGTTTCAGTACACGGAGAATGGCCAGCAGAACCCAGTGAAGAAGCTGGTGTCTCATAGTAACTTAGAACGCCCATCTAAACAGCTTATGCTTCCCAAACTAAAAATTCAGAAATCAGTGGAATTGCTCTGTTTCTGAAAGTAACCAGTTGCTGATAACTAGTAGGTAATTATTGTTTATAATATCAAAGTATATTCTAATCCTCAATTTTGATAATTTTTGTTTGGTTTTTGTTTTTTTGTTTGTGTTTGGTTTTTGTTTTTGTTTTTTTCAAGACATGGTTTCCCTGTGTTGCCCTGACTGTCCTGGAGCTCGTGCTGTAGACCAGGCTGGCCCCAAACAGAAAGATCCACCTGCCTTTGTCTCTGGAGTGATAATCAATATTAATTAATATTTCCACACTTAAAACTAGATACAAGATTAACCTTTCATCTAACTGCATAGGTCCAATTAATGCTGCACATCTTTCCCAGGTTTTCTTTAAATCAAGAGAACCATTTTATTTAGAATGCTAAGTAATTTCATGTTCTGAGTCATAGGAATGTTTTATCAAAAGAGTAGTCATTCCCATTGAAGTATGGTCAGGAAGTTGGCTTAATTTAAATTCCTACTCAGTGTCTACATGCCTGAATAATTTAAAAGGAAGAAAATGATTTATCATTAAATCAAGTAAATAATGTGTTTAGATGTGGACACCATTTTCAGTAGCTTCCAAGAAGACAGATTGTCTGCTGACAGTTTCTCTTTTGTTGATGAAAGAACTGTTTCTTTCCAACTATAGGAAATTGGATAGACTTGAAAAGAAAAAAAAGAAAAGGAAATGTGATAAGAAAAAGAAGAAGTTACAGAAGAACAGAAGTAAACACAAAAAACATAAAAACAAATCCCCTTCCTCCTCCTCCTCCTCCTCTTCCTCCTCCTCCTCCTCCTCCTCCTCCTCCTCCTCTTCCTCCTCTGACACTTCAGAAAGCAGCATCGAGAGTGACAGCAAGGAAAAGACGAGAGAGAAGGAGAAGAGGAAGAAAAAGAGGAAAACCAAAAGTTCAGGAAGTAAAGCTAATGACTCTAAAGAGGACACGTCTAAGAACAAACTTCACGAAGAACTTTCTAGCAGTCACAGCGACAGAGGAAAAGCCAAGGAAAAGTTAAGGCTTCTAAAACGAGAGAGTTTTGGGGAGAATAGCAAAGATGTCCACTCTGGTTCTGACCGAAAGTCCGGAAGCCATCGTCATAGTCCAGAGAGGAAAGGGTCTGACAGAAACGGGGGAGTCCGAAGTCACCACAGGGCTGAGAGCAGCAGCAGGAGAAGCCGGAGCAGGAGTCCTGGTGGTCACAGGCAAAGGGAGATGAGGAACTGGCCACCGTGGAGTCCTAATGAAGAGCGGACCAGGAGAAAAGACACCAGAAACCATGGCGACGGTGAATACAGAAGAGACAGTGCACGGTGAGCACCCAGGAGGTAGAGGGAACGGCGGAGGGACAGCTGCCTGGGAGAAAGGACTCCATTTTTTTACTGAATGTCTTCAGCAAGGGCTAACTTGCACATTAGTATCTAATAAAAAAGAGTCTCTTAATTTTCCATCTCCATAAATTGTCATTTCAAGTGTGACAGCGCCTGAGTACCACAAGGTTGAGTTCGCAGGTATTTGTAGGGACTCTGTTTAGAGGATAGAAAGTTGTCTCTGTTGGTAGCTGTTTCTTATACCTTGTACCAGATTTAAAATATGTAAGTCATTGTGATTTTGTTGTTTTGAAATACCATTAAAACAGTGACAACCTTGAATGATTATCAATTCAAATTTGTTATTTTAAGATTTGAATTTACTTGAAGCAAAATGTAATTGATGAAATTCAGTAGAGTAAATAAAACACTGGCTATCAACCAGTATTTCCTTAAGACTTAAAACCCTGTATTTTTGTCTGCAGAGTATGATATTAGTAATTGAATGTCCTCTTACTTGTCCATGTTGGCATACAAAATTACTTGAAACTTAACAGTTGTGAAAATCAGAATTCTGACATAGGTCTCACTAGGATAAAGTGAAGTCATAAGCAGAACTGTCTCCCTTCTGTGCAGCCAGGCTTGGCATCTGGCTCCCTTTTCTGCAGTTCAAGGCTAACAGAGGAGGCAAGTCTTTCCTACATCTGGTCACCCTGACACCAAGTCTGCATCCTTCTTCCACTTGGTAAGGACCCTTGGGAGTACAGTGGGTCCACCTGACGAGTCCAGAATGATCTCCACACTTAAGATCAGCTGATCTGAACCGTAATTTATCTGCACCTGCAATTTTCCTTTTTCATATAATGTACCATATTCACAGGTACCAGGCCTTGGAGACATATATATCTTTTGGTGAATGGTTATTCTGCCTACCGCAATAGCCTTTCTGATGTTAGACATTACAAGTTGTTGTTTTTCTGAAAGGTAAAACATTTATATTACAAAATACAAAGAAACAATATAAACTAGATATATTTTACTTAAAAGTTGGAGGGGGTCCTCTTCTTTGAAACAGGGTCTCACTATCACCGTGTAGCCCTTGCTAGCCTGGAGCTCACTATGTAGACCAAGCCAATATATAAAATGGTTTCATTTGTTGTTGTTTTTTTAAATTTAGCTACAATTTTTGCTATATGTGCCAAAGAATTAGTAAAGGAAAACTGGAAATTTTTAATGCAAATTACAGATACCATGCAGTTCAATTTTTTTTTCCTATTGTGAATGTATTAAATATTTCTTTTATCAGGGTTTCACTTTTTTAAAGCATCCCTCAGTTAGTACAAAAATACTGATTTTGATGGCGGTCACAGTTTCCAAGTTCTGAAGAAAATAGATTTGAAAGGAGTTAAAACTACTCCATGTCTACTCCTTGACTATGTACAGGGAAGCAGCTGGCCTGTGATGTAGCTGTGTTGACGATGTAAATAGCCCTTTGATTATGCAGACGGAGGAAACTGGAGAGGAACTGAGCTCCTTCACACATCCTCTAATGTCTTCCAGCTCACCTCAGAGATCCTGCTCCTTCACTTTAAAAAGCATGCATTTGAAATTGATAAAGGCTAATTTACACCCTGAGTTCATCAGTGTCGCTGTGATTATTTTCTACCGTACACCTTTTTAGACTTTATAATTTTTGTAATGTCAAAACCTATGCAATACTTACTGCCTTAAAAGAGGGTTCCAAACCAATACAGTGCTCATGAAGAAAAATGTTGAAATGCATCCTATAATTAAGAATGAATTAAATACTGTTTCTTACACTTTGACTTTCACCAAAATGTGCCACCACCCCTTAACTTTATAAGGTAGCCCCTAAGGTTTTTTTTTAATCTCTAATCCTTCGTGTTGAGAATATTAAACCATACATAAGGGACTAATTTTTAAAGCTCTAATCTTACCCACCCAATTCTGAGAGAAATTTCCCATGGTTACAGGTCATGAGCATCTGCAGTTTAGTTAGTTTTTGGCCTTGGCCGCTGAGGATGCTAGACAACCACAATGGACCAGCATTCTAACCTTATGAACTAAGAGATGGAAGGGAGGCATTTTCACACAAAAACACTCCATAACAGCAGCCCTCCCAAAGCTCACTCATTTGCATGCTATGGTGATACTAGGGGATGGGACTGAAAATGGTCTTATAAATAAAAATATTAGGCTTCTAGTAAGTACTAATATACTTCAGGTTCAATGAATCTAAACAAGTCAATAGTGATGTTTTCCAGAAATCTAGACATGAAATATGTCATTCTTACCCTAAATAGAGAAATTATTTTAAAAAAAATCTGAACTTTTTTTACTTTTCCCCCAATGTGGACATGTAGGCATAGTTCTAACTTTGGGGCCATCCCTTCAAGGCTTCCCCCTAGCCTCGTTTAACCCAACACTGACGGATTCATTCCTGTAGGAGGCACTGTCGATTTACAAATGACCAGGAAAAATCGGGTTGTTAGGTTAGGGTTTGTTTATCTGGATGTCTACATAGTAAATTAGTCATAATTTCTTTTAATAATTGCCCAAATAGGCAGAAGTTGCTGCGGCATAGCGGCAGGAATGCTCACCTTGCAATGTGACATGAATCTTGCTTGAATCGTACACTTGCAATACGAAGAAAGCTTTTTATCTGAACGGTTATGGAGAGACCTTTCTTCCAGATTCTTCCATGAGGCCAGTGACAGATAGCGAATCCGATCAGTCCTGCTGTTGGAGTAGGCTTTTTCAGTTTTAATCACAGAATTTAGTATCCTTTAGCCCTGAAGATCGGAGTTCAAGATCCGCTCCGACTATTTCGTGCTTTTGACCTAATGAGCAAGACACCGGTGGAGGCCTCTCAGGAAGGCCGCATCCTCCACACTCTGTGCCTAAGACCAAGGAGCAGGCTTACATACACACACACACACACACACACACACACACACACACACACTTTTATTCTTACTTGGGTTTTCTGAAAAGATAACGTTTACTACGGTTCTTGACAAGTGTGAACAGGCCTGCGATGGCGGCCTTTGGAGCCGGTTCAGATCTGAAAGTGCTGTTTGTACAGGTGAGGAGCAAGCGCCCTGGGAACTGAATGCTTTTCTGACCTGAAGCGCCTACTTACTACCCGGTTCCTGCCGGCAGGGAAGGAAGCAGATCATCTTCCCACCTTCCCCTTTCTCCTCGCTTCACCTCCCACTTAGCCCCCCAGCGCCCCACAGTGTACCTAATACTATAGAGAGGTGTCTGCGGAGACGCGAAGGTCTGATTGCAATAGTATCCGCGGGCCGAACTGCCCTCGGGTCGCCTACCCGCCTAAGACATGGAAAACCTCTAGCCCTTCCCTGTCAGCGGCTCCCGGGGTGCCGAGGCCTTCACAGCCGACCAGATCCCCACTTCAACGTGCACCACACTGAACCCAAAGGAAGCAGAGGGCCGGGGAGGGTGAGCCCTGAACAGGTGTCACCGGGCCCATCCGCAGATGCCATGGCACCCTGTGTTCTCTGGGGCCTTGACGGGTTTCTCACCTGGCAACCTGGGACGCAGCACACGGAGAGAAGCTGGGAATTTAGGGGCGCACAGCCGCCCGACTTCCTGTTCACAGGCGTTACGAGACAGGGACAAATTGGCTCTTTGCATGGGTACCCTGGCTCGGACCCGCGGTGGCCCGAACCCAGCCAGAAGACACTCCCAGGTCCCTCCGCGAGGCTGCGAGCCAGGGCAGCTGCTCGACCTCCCGGGGGCCTGGCCCTGGTCGCCCTGTCCCCACCAGGGCTCGCCAGGCCTCCTGCATGTGTCCCCTGAGCGGGTCGCTGGGCGTACTCGCCCGCGGTGGCTTGGAAAGCGAGAGAATTTTTCTGCTCGCTGGGGCTCCACAGGTGAAGACCGCGCTTTGGAAAGCCAATACCAATCTCCGGCTCCTGGCGCGGAAGAAGAAAAACATACCAAAGCTCACCAGCAACCTACAAGAAGACAGCGGACTGAGGGAGTCACACCCTATCTTTCATCCATGAATCACCCCCGAAGTGGCAAGATGCCTGCGAAACAATGCAAAAGCCCCAGTGACTGTCCAAAGAAAAAGAAGGCTACGGTTTGGGGAAACCTACAGCTTTCCCCGGATCCGGGCCAACTGACTCTGGAGGAATGTGTCCCTACGGACATTCGGAAACCTTAACTCGAGTTCCAAACACCCGTACATATTTATATCAATAATATATGGGGAGGCAAGTCTGTATGTATTTATCTCATACATATTTCTATAAACTCCAGCGTCTGGAAAAGGTGGGGGGTAAATAGCACTGAACGGTTAAAATTATGGAGAAGGGATAATAACTGATTACTAATTTGAAAGTAAATAAACAGGTGACTTTTTCAGATCAAATTCCTCCTTGGATCGTTACAATAAATATCTCTGAAGGAAGAGCTCTATTTATGTTGTCATTGATTAATTCTTCACTACCTCATTTGATTTCGATTTAGAACGATTTGATTCTAATTTAATTAGCATGTAATTTGGATGTACATAATTACTGTAATTATGACATTCAGGTAAGGCAGCTTTAGGCTGAAAGGCAATTTCAAATTTTCTAGCAACCTACTTTGTACTGGGAAATGGACAAGGACTTTGCGCCCTGCTATCCAAGTAGTAATTAGCACATCTTTGAAATAGGCAGTGCGGCGGGGTTTGTATTAAAACAGCAAATACAAACCCAGCCGAGTACCCGCTACAAAGGTGGCTGGTGAGTTCCCAGAAGCGCGCTGCGTTCCCCTGGCTTGAGTTTGGGGAGCCCGGCACCCCGGAGCCTCAGCTGCTCTCTCACAGCTTCGGGTGACTGCGTTTCTTTCCTCCTCCGGCGGGCGCGGGGTTGGAAGGTGTCGCTTTTTAAATTAAAATACAATAAGAGCTGAGGGGGGAGGGGAGAAAGTCGCCGCCAGGCGTCTCGGGCTCCTGGATGGGGGAGGGGTAGTGGACTAAGAAGAGGAGGGACGGGGGCGGCGGGAGGCAGGACGAAGCACAGAGAAGAGAAAATTGGCCAACGCCCCCAACTGTTATCTCATTTCAGATTTGGGTTTCGAAAAGGCGAGGACAAAAGGGGTGGGTCTGCTCTGGGAGGGGGTGCGCACCCGTCGGGGGGGCCTGGGACGAGGCCTCTGGCGGCTCCTGGTCGCCCTCCGGGGCCCCGCGCGCACGGCCCCGCCTTGGCCAGCCCAGATGCCCCCTGCGCCCCGCTCGGGCAGCGGCCGCCTGCCAGAGCACCGAAGCCCTGCAGAGGGCTGCTGCTGTGGTCGGTGGGTCCAGGCTGGCCAGAGCCTCGGGACTCCGCCTTTCCCTCCTATCCCAGGGGTTCTGGGAACCTGAAGAGGTCTTGGTGACCTGGTTGAGTGAATTGCGTTCCCGCCCGCCCTGGGTAGTCCACGTAGACCCCACGGTCCGGCAGCCCTCGATCCCCAGTGCTCTGGGCAAAGTGTTGGAGGCAAGCTGTGCCCACCTCGGGATCTCTACCCCGGGTCCACGTCGCTACCGCCACCGACAGCGTTCAGCTTTCTCATCTATGAGTGCTGGAAGACCCTGAAACCGCCTAGGAAAGAATGCTAAATGAGACAAAGCAAGCTAAGACCAAGGCCAACCGGGGTGGTAGTCTGTTTTGCTTGGAATTTTCAGTAAACGTGCTCCAGAAATAATCCCCTTCCCTTGGAGCCACTGCTAGGCAATGTCTCCCCCAAAAGGGGCTTGTCCCCAGCTGAAACACAAAACCTCGCTTTTCTTTACTTGATTCCTTGGGTTGTCGGAGTTCGCGACAGAAGCCAGTCTCGGCGCGCTAATAGCCAAGTGCCAGGCCGCCAGCGCGGACCTCCCCTGCAGGAGCTCTAGATGGCGCCAGAGAGCCACACTCGCCGTACGTACGCCTCTTGGGGGAATCAAGAGCTACTGTCAAACATAAAAGCAAATCAGAGTTTTCAGTTTTTTTTAATGTGTTAAGAATGTTATTCCTTAAGAAAATTTGTAGCTAAATTATTCTCACTTAAAATAAACACTTAGTATACCAATTACACAAATGGGCGGGATTTATGTGAGATTTACTTCATCTGCATTTTTGTAGTGGAAGAGAGCCTTGGTGAATACAGATAATAGATGCAAATAAGATTAGAGTTAAAATAAATAAAGTTTCCATGTGAATAAAAAGAAATTCAATTTTACACGACTGGTGACGATTTGACGGAATGTCCAGACACGCGGTTCAGGTGCACAATCTAATCTCATCCAAATGTTTTCATTTTCAAACGTCCTTGAGGAAAGGAAATTTTTTTCTACTCCTTTTTCCTAATCAGGTAGGACCCTGTTCACTCCAAGAGGCGCGCGGGGCGGGGGGATGGGGGGGGAGGATCACGCCAAGAAAGAAAAATACTGGGGAGGGTGTGGATCGGGGCCGGGTAGGCGCAGGCCCAGCAAACTTGGTCTTGGTTCATCTGCTGCGCGGAAGCTGGAAACAAGAAATCTTTGGTAACTCGCTGAAACGAAATTGCATTTCCCCTCGCCCCGGCGGGCGCGGGATTCCTAGCCCCAGATCCCAGCCCCGGCTCCACAAAATCCACTT